ACCATGATTGCACTCAGTGTCATTGCTAGGAATTCTGGGCCCATAGCACTGATTTTGCTATGGGGCCCCCTCAAAATTACAAACATTCTGGGCCGCTCTCAACAGCTGGGCTCTCAACCTCTCCTCCATGTCATGGCCAGGTTAAACCCTGCCCTGAGAAGAGATGATGCCAACCCCTCAGAGGACCTCAGATGATGCCAACCCTGAAACAACATACAGAACTACCACATTTTGCTATAAGTTTGATTGCATCATATAATAATTGCTGTTAATAGTGTTCATCGTCTGTTTTATTACGTCTTAAATTGATTTTTCCGTACTGCTGGTTCGTCTGGTCAGAGGAGAACTGGCCCCCCGACTGAGCCTGGTTTCTCCCAAGGTTTTTTCTCCATTCTATCACCGATGGAGTTTTGGTTCCTTGCCGCTGTCGCCTCTGGCTTGCTTAGTTGGGGACACTTCATTTCCAGCGATACCGTTGACTTGATTGCAAAGATACTATTTAAACTGAGCTGGATGTTGACATCACTGAATTCAATGATGAACTGTCTTTAACTGAAAAATTTTATGTTTACTATTGTCATTTTTCATTATTGACACACTATTTTCCTAATTAATGCTGTTCAGTTGCTTTGACACAATCTGTATTGTTAAAAGCGCTATATAAATAAAGGTGACTTGACTTGACTTGATTCATCCAAAAAATAATGGTTTTTATCAGCTTCCAGCTCCATCACCCTCTAAAACGACATTTATTGTAGGAAAAACATATACTGATAACAATGATGTAGAATTTTTGGTGATTCCCCCCCAACAACAGGCATCTTGAAACTGATCATACCTGAACATACTCAGTCCTCAGTTACTTCACTTTCATTATCTAAACATGTAATATTATTCATCATTTCCCATAAAAACTATGCTTCAAGAGTAATGCAAGCATTTTGAGCAGTTGTATCAATTGACAGTTAGATCATTGTAATGAAATGAATAGACACTCAACAAGATGTAACGTGTGAGTTGCATTTTGAAATAGTAATACTTTGATGTTAAGTTGTGTCATTTTGAACCGGTGATTTTAGTTCAATGAAAAAAAATCTTTGGTTTGTGTATTGTATCCAAGCAGTTGGAAAAAAGTTTTGAAAAATGACATGAAGGTCCATGCAACCATCTGACAATCAAGAACAAAGCCACCCCATCTTTATACTTTCAATGTCTTTATTTGTTTAGAGCTGAGATACAATGTTTAACATAACACATTTAAACACATGAATGAGGTTTATTAGAGGCAGGAAAGCTGTAAATATTTTTTTTTTTTTAGAACAACACAGATCAATCAGGCAGCATAACCTGAACCTACTAAAATAAACTTTACTGTGAGATTACTACTAGGAATGTTTTTCCATTTATAAAATCTCAAGTTACAAATTGTTCACATTTTTATAAACCGGTTAAAAATCATACATATGTCTCATTGCTAATGTGTTTGTTACGATTACATTGGTCCTATATGGACTTTAGAGAGTTCAGACCATTTACCATCAAACCACTTAGTTATGAATTACATACTGCTAGTCGAATAATTACTATTAATGGTCACCAAAGCCACATTCCTACTATATTGGAAGCAATTGGACAAGAGTCAAAAGGCTTAAAATACAACAATTTTCCTATTGGGTCCATTGCTGGTGACACCTGCACATAAACAAATTTGCAAAAAATGCACATTTATAAAACATTCATCAGCTTCATCTGTGGGACACTGTATTTCTTGCGACGTCACTGATCCCTTAAACCCTCTTCAATATATATTCATGGAACTCTAGGATTGATATAAATGTTGTTCTGAGTAAAGGTAAGGTTTAGATAACAACTTACAACACAGAAAGAGTCAACAATCAGTACAAAGGAAGTGAATGATTAAGGAAAGAGTGACTGAGTTAGACATCTGAAAGCACAGTAAACAGTAAAGGTGCATGAATTGTCTAATTAATTTACACATAAATAAGGGACTCTAAATGTCACTCCTCAAATCAGTATTAATCACCATAGCATATTTTTAATAATTAGCAACCTAGTTCTCATCCTCTATTCCTCTTAAAGCATCTGACTTAACGTAACAGATCATGTTGAGGTAGAACAGAGACACCTACAGACTGTTGAGGGGAATCCTGATACAATTTGCTTTGGTACATTTAAATTATTAAAAAAGTTGGCTGTTTTGTTAAAGATTAGTGCAAACAATTGCCTAGTAATTATAATGCTACTTTGTAGTTTTATCAAATACATTTTACATTTCAAACATCCACAGGGGTTATTATAGCTAACATTTTGTTGCCACTGGTAGTTTGTACCAGTGGAACTGTAAATCCTGTACTGAAAAGTCAACTATACAGACAACTTGGTCTATTTGTTTACACCGCAGATCACTGAAGGAAAGTTCAAGAGACTGAAAAACTCATCACTTGAGTTTGAAAAGGCACTGAGCAGAAAATCTGGAAGACCTGCTTTTATATAAATGCTATTTATATAGGCACAATGGGTGAAACATAAGTAAACTATTATTATTATTATAAGTCTGATACAACAAGCTTCATGACTGCTGTAATAATACATTTTTAGATGCAGCCAGATCTACCACTGGCCATATCCATTCATGCCATTATCCCCCGATGGAGTGATGGTGACTGAATCGAGAAAAGGACGGAGTGCTTGTCCAAAAGGTCTATGGAGAAGGAAAGTGTAATTCAATCCAGTTATTACTAATACTACCACTAGTGTCAACAACAAATTTGATTGTAAAGCTGTAAGGGCAAACTTACGTAGCGAGCACCTCAGATGGGAGGTCAGTGATGTATGAGGGAATCTTAGTTCCTGTTAAAAACTGTGCAACCTCAGAGCTAAAGGTGTTACAGTTGTGTTCAAAGAGGTGGTATTTTTCAGGTCTGTGGAAAAAAAGGAGGAAGTACAGGTTTGCACATACATGTAAATGGTCATTTCTGTAGTTAAAAATGATGAGAGATTTCTCAAAAGACCAATGCCATACTTTGTCTTTGCATACTAAACTAGGAAAATATGCAGTTTCCTGTTAAATGCAAAAAAGAAAGATATACTGACCTGTAAGTAGACTCCCTGAGCGAAGACAGATATTCCTGAAAAAGGTCCCGGGGAACTTCTGTGTTTCCAAGGTCCACTGTGGAATCAGACATACCTAGAATAGTACCACCCTGAAACATGAGAACATTTCATGATTATGATGGGTTACAGACTAACATAGCCTTTTACTTTTCAGATATCTTGAGAAACAAATGTATCTTACCGGAAAGCAGCTTAAAATGCCCCCTCCTCCAAAGAAATACTCTTCCCCATAAACCACTATAGATGTGTGCCTTCATTAAGTAATCCAATATTAATGCATTAAAATAAAGACTTGTTAAATTCAACTGTTTATTAAGTTTAAACAAATACAAGATATAAGCATTTTCAATAGTGGTCTCAAACCTTTGGACTCCTCTGTATATTAAATTCTGCTGCCTGAGAGTTTCAAAAAAGTAAACAAAAAAACATACTCACCATATTCCCTCGACTTGCTTTCCTGTCAATGTAGATACAGAATTGCAATCAGTCATTTCTTCACAAACGTCCAAAGGTGAATTTTTCTCCAGAATGTATAAAATATCTTATTTCACTTTGACTTTATGAAAAATAAACAAAAACCATCTCAACAACACTAAAACACATATTTCTATTCTAGAGGCATCGCCACCTCCCCCGGACAACTTTAGCCGACTGCAGAACTCACCTAACATCATGGGACTCAGCTGACGGGCCAGTCCTTTTGACAGGTCATAAATGAACAACTTTACGTTGAAAGACCTTCTATCAGCCATCGCTACGGCTTTAGACAAATGTGCGTTTACAAACAAAAACGCAACTCTACAGCTAGCAAACTGAAACTTAGCTTGAGTTTCTCGCTCTGATTGAACTCGAAAACCCAGACTTCAGTGTTTTGCTTGCTCACATTTCCATCATCGCATTAAACATTGACAAGGAACACATTCGTTGTCGTTTTAAATTATTTTAGGAAAATAATAAACCACAGGTTTTTGACAAATCCGACACAGCGTTCACGTCCGCTTCGTCACAGTGACACAGTGATATTTTGATACCGGTTTTGACAAATGTGCTTATTCATTGGGGACCCGACCAATAGCAGCACAGATACATCTGTCAAAGAGCTGTAATATCCTCCAAAACGCTAGATGGCGAATTTTATAAGAACAAACATGCTGCTGTTCATGCCCACCACAGAATCTACTAGTAAGCGGAAGTCATGTTCGAGATTCGGTTCGTTTGAACAGTTCATTTCAATAGGCCAGTTCAAAACTCCCGATTCAGCGACTCTTACCTCATTACGTGGTCCCTGACATCCCGGCGTGTCATAAACATGCTTTAAATCTTTAATAAATCCATATATGGACCCATACTGATGTTTATTATAGTATTTCGAATAGCTTTTGCTTGTTGCCCTTTCGGTCAAACCCTGAGTCCGAAAATGCTCACACATTACAAGCCAGGCAAATTATTCGGTTCACTCGAGAATCGCTGTGAACCAGTTCGATTCGTGGACAAATTGTGCAGATATCTAGTGGGAACCGAGTCAATCTATTCAAAGAAAAGAACTGAGTGACATGAAAGATTTGTTCACGGCCATGAAAATGTTTGACCTCCTTAATTTTTAATAGTAATTTATTTATTTACTTTATTATTATTACAAATGGTATGTTTATCTGCCATGTGCTGCTTTATATATTTTTTTACATTTTACCTTATTTGTATAGTTGTATTTTATATTTAATCTGTATCTATCTGTATTTATGTTCTACTGTTAGTGTTATCTGTATGCACCAAGGGTCTGAGAGGAACGCAATTTCAATTTTCTGTGTGTATGTGCTGTACATGTGGAAGAATTGACAATAAAGCAGACTTGATTTGACTTTACTTCCTCGTGCATGGATTAACCAGTCACTCCGCTTTTGTCTCGCCATTGGTTCTTGCCGTTCAATAGTCGTCTCTGATACGCTATTGGAGCTGTCACTCAAATTCTGGCGCACTGACTGGATGCGTGCATGCGCGGTTGTAAAGGAATACAAAGTTCTGTTGCTGAAAAGAAAAAAGTGGCTAATCTTAAATTTAAGAAAATTTGCTTTGTTTTTCCCCAATTTTAATTGAAAGCAACCCTGAAACGGTTCTTGGCGAAAGTGACCAGTGATGGCGGAGTGGAGAAAGTACTATCCAAACGAAGACGATGAGGTTGAGGAGGACGAAGAGGATTCTGGAGGTTAGCACAGCTAACGTAACTGCTTTAATTGTCCTCTGTGATATAAGTTGCACGCTTTGTACTCTATTAAACTTAACTTACTTATATGAAATTAAGATGTGATTAAATAAGAAAATCTTAATTGCTTTTAAATTATTAGGGGATTACAAACTCAGTGGCCGCGACAGTCTGGTGTTTTTGGTTGATGCATCCAAAGAGATGTTCATCAAGGGTGAGGATGGAGAGCCATCTAATTTTGACATGACTATGCAGGTGAGTCAATCTGTAACATTGTATTCATTCATTGTCTTTTATTTTCACCAAATATTCTTGTGTTTTTCTCCAGTGCATATCTGATAGACATTATTTTCTGTTGTATCTAGTGTGTACGTAGTGTGTACACTAGTAAGATCATAAGCAGTGACAAAGACCTGGTCGCTTTGGTGTTCTATGGGACTGAGCAGAGCAAGAATCCAAGAAATTCCTTCAAGCATGTCTACATCTACCACGACTTGGATTCACCTGGTGGGTAACTAACTCTTGGTGCTTTTCAGATTGCCTATATGATGGTGAATTTATCTCGCGTACTGATTCCCTTTTCAGGATCTCAACGTGTACTGGATATTGATAAACTGCTGGGTGAGAAAGGAGCTCAATTCGCTGAAAAGACCATGGGCAGTGGCGAAACGTCCCTCGGAGATGCTCTGTGGTGCTGCTCCAACCTTTACAGTGACATCAAGTTGCGACTGTCACACAAGCGCCTGATGATCTTCACTTGCAGGGATGACCCTCACGGAGGAGACGGTGCTAAAGACAGACAGGCTCGTACAAAGGCTGCTGACCTTAAAGAGACAGGTAGGCTAAATGGAAGGGGAAAATGACAGTCTTACTGATGGACAATTTATAACCTATGTTCTGTTGTTCCTCAGGTGTGGTCATAGACTTGATGCACCTTACAAAGCCAGGAGGTTTTGATGTTTCCCTGTTCTTCTGTGACATTGTAAGCCCTCCTGAAGATGAAAGCGAGCTTGGCCTCCAGATTGAGCCCTGCAGGAAACTCGAGGACTTGCAGAAGAGGGTCAGAGCTAAAGAGTTAAAGAAAAGATCTCAAAGCAGGTAAATGCACTGCACTGCACATGTCAAATCATTCACCAGATTGCTTGTCCTATATAGCGTCAAGGGGATGCTGGATGTATACAGCAGGTAATACGTTTCTGTAGTGTTTGTAATTGCATTTTATTTCAATTTGCTTCAAGAAAAAGACAGGCATGTTGATAATTTTTCAAATCCCTATGGTCATCAGTTCCTTTCTTTCCTACTGTGATGTAAATCCAAACAAGAAAAAATATATCTAGTGCAGGACTAGTCCATCAAGAATTGATACTAAATTTCTCAGATGATACAGAATGACATCTACCGATACTTAGGTTTTTTCTAATGTTGTGAACTATACAGGGAACCTCTCATTTTGTGCATTACTATAATATAAGAGTTTAAAATGAAAAACAGAGCCCAAACCTTTACATTCAACTTCTAGTTATTTTCAGATATAATAATCGCATTTAAAAGCGTACATTCTTGTATACAACTCAGTTGCACATAAAGTAGTTTTCATAATAACTTGTCTTCAGGACAGATATATAATTAAAGGGGTCATATGATGCGATTTAAATTTTTCCTTTCTCTTTGGAGTGTTACAAGCTCTTGGTGCATAAAAAGATCTGTAAAGTTGCAAAGACTAAAGTCTCAAATCCAAAGAGATATTCTTTATAAAAGTTAAGAGTCAACCACGCCTACCTAAAACGGCTCGTTCTAACATGCCCCCACATGTCTATGTCACGATGTGGGAAGATTTGCATAACGCCGCCCAAATGTTCACGCAAAGAAAGAAGGCGTAACTTTTATTCTTGCTGTAGTATTGTTGTTGTTGCCGCTGCCATGTCGTGAAGGCACTGTGTGATTCGTTGTGAAAGCGAAACTACTTTGTTTGGCCTTCCAAAAGAGGACGATATCTGCTTCGTCATGCCTGGAGCTGATCCGTGCTGGTCGCTGAGGAAATACAACAACTTTGCGCTGTGGATCACCGGATCGGTTTTCACCGTGGACGAAGCGGAGTCCAGCCCAGAGTCGTCACATGTCCTTCCGGACGCTCCTTCGTCGAATCCGCCGGCCGTGCCGTTCTCAAGCCCGCCGCCTCTGCTCACTCTAACCCTCCGGCCGTTCCTTACGCTAGCCCCTGGCCTCTGCTCACTGTAGGCCACCGTGTGTGACGCTGTGTTTCTTTGTGAAAGCGAAACTACTTTGTTTAGCCTTCAAAAAA